TTGTCGAACGCCCCCCAAGCCCACCAGGCTTGGGTCTTCAACAAAAAAGACACTTAGGCATAAGTCTGAAGTTATGTGAGGAATTTATTAAAGGGACAGCAGGTATAGAGAGGAGAGCTCTCTTTAGAAGGAAGAAGCAGGAAGAATCTACTGAGGGGTCCCACAGGTCCTTTTTATCCGGCCTGGAGTTTGGGTTACCCAGGTGAATCTTCCCAACAGAAACAAAAGGGTTACTATAGAGATAGAACGAAGGCCAAACCAAAACTAACTTTCTAGAAGACCTGATTTATCATCCAGGTACAGCCTGTCAGCTCTGACCGCTGAAGCAGAGAGCTCAGAAGATCTTAAAGTGGCACTCTCCTAATTTCCAATGCTTATGGCAAGCATGGCTCCCGACAGATGTGGCTATTTGTTCTTGAAGCTGGTGTTGGATCATCCATTGATGTTTTCCCTTGGCACCTTCATAGTGCTCTCCAAAGCTGTGAGAGCTCGCCTTCAGGGAAAGTTGTTTCAGGTCAGTTGCAGCTCTATTGCTCCAAATCCTGTGTCCAAAGTATGTTCTGTCTTCAGCACTAGGGTCTTACCTTCAAGTTCTGGGAGTTCATTGAGGGCTGTGGCAATAGCCTGAATAATTTTGGGAGTCTCTTGGACCAACCACCCTGGCCAACAACTCAAAGGACGGTATCTCCTGTCTGACACTGTTTCTTGTTAAGTAGCGTTTAGCTATACACATGGACTCATGCAGAGATAATGAATGTGTAATTTGTCAATAGGATGTTGGGTTAATATGGTTCCCTTTAGTTTTTTTAAACTAGCTAGGTGTTATTTATCTCTCCTCTCTCTCTCTCTCTCTCTCTCACTGTCTAACCCTTCTGCCATGGCTTCCCCATTTAAAGTGTCCCCATTTTCCCCATTTCTCCCTTAATAATACACATCTCCTATGGTCCCACCTCTCTTGAGCTCCTTCTTTCCCTTTATCCCCAAGGTTCCTTGTATAACCCTTCCTCTCCCTCCCATTTAAATAACCCCATTCTTATCCATTTCTCCCTTACTATCACCCATTTCCCACTGCTCTTCTCTTGCAGGTTCTTTCTTTCCCTTTGCCTCCCTGGTTTCTTTCCATTATTCTGGTTCCTGTGATTATGTCTGGATACATACTCACTTATAAAGATTTGGTGCTAGGATCCATGTGAGGGAGAACATACATCCTTTGCTTTTTGAGTCTATGTTACTTCACTTAGTATATCAGTTTCTAGTTCCATCCATTTACCTGAAATTTTCATGATTTCATCTTTCTTTACCGCTGAGTAAAACACCATTGTGTAAATATACCACATTTTCACTATCCACTTATCAGTTGAGAGACACTTAGGTTTCTCCCATCTCTTATCTATTGTGAAAAGAGCAGCAACAAACATGGATGTACAAGTGTCTCTGCAATACGATGAGTCCTTTGGGTATATGCCAAGGAGTGGTATTACTGGATCAAATGGTAGGGTCATTTTTAGTTTTTTAAAGAAATCTCCACACTGCTTTCCATAGGAATTGCAAAAGTTTGCCAACCTAGCAACAGTGGATGAGCGTTCCTATTTCCCCACATCCTCTCCAACATTTGGTATCATTTGTTCTCTTGATCTTAGCCAGTCTGAATGGGGTAAGATGAAATCTTACAGTGGTTTTAATTTGCATTTCCCTATTTACTAACAATGTTGAACACCTTTTATTTAATTTTTAAAAATTTTATGTGTATGCATGTATTGCCTGCATCTAGGTAAGTGCACCTGTGTTGTGCAATGCCTGTGGAGGACAGAAGAGGCTGTTGGATCCCCTAGGACTGGAGTTATGGACAGTTGTTAGCTGCCATGTGGGTGCTGGGATTCAAACCCGGGACTTCCACAAGAACAATCACTGTTCTTAACTGCTGAGCCATCTCTCCAGTCCCTGTTGAACACCTTTTAAGATTTTATTAGCCATCTTTATTTCTGCTTTTGAGAACCCTCTGTTTGGACCCTTAGCCCATCTTTTAATTGGGTTACTGGATTTCTTGATTTTTTTTTGAGTTCTTTATATATTCTGGATGGTAAACCTCTGTCAGATGTGTTGCTGGTGAAGATTTTCTTCCACTCTGTGGGTTTTCTCTTCACTTCCTTGGTTGCTTCTTTTGATGTAAGGATACTTGTGAACCACATACAGACACGCCACCATGATCAAGTTGGCTTTGTTCCAGAGATGCAGGGATAGTTCAATATACATAAGTCAATAAACAGCATAAATCATACAAATGGACTCAAATACAAGTACCACATGGTCACCTCAATAGATACAGAGAAGGCCTTTGACAAAATTCAACATACATTTATGTTCAAAGCCCTAGAGCGAATTGGACTGGAGGGAACATACCTCACATAATTAAAGCTATATATGACAAGCCCACAGCCAACATCATTCTAGGTGGAGAAAAACTGGAAGTACTCCTATTAAAATCAGGAACCAGACAAGGCTGCCCACTATCTCCACTTCTCTTTAACATAGTGCTTGAAACTCTTGTAAGAACAATAAGAAAAGGGAAAGAAATTATGGGAGTAATAATTGGAAAAAAAGAGGTCAAATTTCCCCTTTTTGCAGATGATATGATATGATATCTAAGAGATGCTAAAAATTCCACCAGAAAACTCCTAGAAATAATTAGTGCTTTCAGTAAAGTGGCAGTTTATAAAATTAATCTAAAAAATCAGTAGCTTTTCTGTATACCAACAACAAGCAAGTGGAGAAAGAGCACATGGAAACACTTCCTTTCACAATAGCCTCAAAAAAAAATCTCATAATAAACTTGACCAAAGATATTAAAGACCTATACGATGAAATTTTTAAAACTTTAAAGAAAGAGATTGAGGAAGATACCAGAAGATGGAAGGACCTCCCACACTCATGAATTAGAAGAATCAATATTGTGAAAATGGCCTTCCTACCAAAAGTCATTTATGGATTCAATGCAATTCTAATAATAATCCCCATGATATTCTTCACAGAATTAGAAAAAAAATCCTAAAATTTATATGGAAGCACAAAAGACCCCTGATAGCCAAAGTAACTCTGAGCACAAAAAGCAATGCAGGGGGGATTAGTATACCAGATTTCAAACTATATTAAAGAGCTATAGTCATAAAAACAACATGATACTGGCACAAAAATAGACCCATGGATCAATGGAATAAAATTGAAGACCCAAATAGAAGTGCATGCAATTTCAGCCACATGATATTTGACAAAGTGGCCAAGAGTATTCACTGAAGGGAAGACAGCATGTTCAGCAAATGATGTTGGCAAAAGTGGATCTCCACCTGCAGAAGAATGAAACTACACCCTTATCTTTCACAAA